CGGAATATGCATTATTATATTACACACACACATATATATATACCTCACGATAATATCGTACGTTATAATACAATAGGGTATAAAATGACATTTAAATATTCCATTATTAATCGACAGCAGGAAAAACGACTATTGGAGGAGCGACGAAATGCATACTAAGGCATAAATAATGAAAAAAAATTAAACATCATTTCAAAACAAAATAATTTCCATTATGTAAATGTAATAAGTATTTTGGTTATTGAATTAAGACGCGGACTTTCGAGTACAATGAAATAAAAAAAAAAAACCAAACATAAAAATGTTAATACAAAAAGTATTCTTGGATTAACTTTCAGCGAATTTCAAATTTGGTCTCGTTCCCGTTTTATAAATCAGTATAAGAAGATTTTCGGATGATAAATAAAGTGCGCGAGAAGGAATAAATAATATAAAAAAAAAAACATTAGGTGATGGGGCACTCAAGAAAACCGACAAGCAAAGAAATAACAATACTTGAACGTATATTTATACATTTACAGTTTCTTTTACGTAAAAGTTTTATGTGCGTTTTTCTGTAGAAGAGAAAAGGAAAAGAAAAACAAAAGAAAAAAAGAAGTAAAAGCTGTATTATATACTTGAATAATAGAAAAACTTTACATAGACCGGATTGCTTGCACGTATATTATTTTATATTGTATACATATATACTATACCATAATGTAACCACAAAAGCCTTCTAATATTATGTAATATTATGGTAATACTCGCAATTAATTAATATTATCGGGATTATGTTGCTGGCATATTACAATGATTATGTGAATTTTCAGACTCAAACTATATCATCCTTTAAACCCCGTGGACGGCAGTTAAGCTCAATTTAGTCGGTTCCAGTGCATGTATACAATATAGAGCAGGTAGACGTGGAAATGGGAAACGTCAAATGAATGGATCATGTTGAGAAAAATAGTCGTTTGTACATTTTGTATTGAAACACACGTCGTAATGTATAATACGTAATATGTAACATGCCCGTTTCATACATAGTCCGGATATACGATCGACGCGTGACGGTTCGGTTAAATAAAAACCACATATCGCAATCGGGTTTTTAAAGAAACAAAAGCAAAAAAATAATATACTTAAAAAAAAAAAAATATTTTAATTACCTAAAATCATTGTACGGCGGTCGATCTTTGATGATGGTGATGGTAATGGACGATAATCGACAACTGCAGGACGTTCGTTTTTTTCGGCACGACGAGCACGCCTGACGACGGCCAAACGGCGAATGATCAACGGTGGACCGGTAGGAGTGAGCTTGAGAGAGAGAAGGAGAGAGCGGGAGAGAGACAGAACGCGAGAGAGATGGACGAGAAAACAGAGAGGATGAGAGTGTGGAAAGGGAAAGAGAGAAAGATAGAGAGAGAGACCGCGAAAATCGTGTACTATGCGCGCCTCGACGCGTGAAAATATGGCGAAACGCCGCACGTGCCGGCAGTGGCTTCATTTGAATTTCATATTTGATCGACGCGAATTCTATCGGACGATTTTTTTTTTTATCATACCACGGAAGTACTTATAATATATATACATACTGTGCTGGTAGAGTGTTTAGATAATATTATAATATTATAATATTATATGCTAAGTTTATAAGCATCGCATAACATATTACAATGGTCGGCTTTGAAACGGAACCTGTAGAGACATGTAAAATCGTACAGTTACTAATACCTATTTGTTATTATTTCTGGCATGATATCCGATCGTAAATTATTCATTAGTACAAACTATAGGTACCAAAAACACTCAATGTTTAAACAAAAACAAAAAAGGCTTCCAACAGCTATCCCATTACAAACTGTCTTTACTTATTAGTCATTATAGTTTATTATGTATACAATATGTTAAGTAGTGACGTATATAGGGAGGGGGGAGGGGTGACCTAGTGGGCTGCCGCCCCTCCCGAAATTACAGTCTTAACTGTTAAATATATAGTAGCCTCTAGGTATAAGATCATTATTGTTAGTTGCTATATAGGTATTAAAGCCCACCCCGAATATTATTTCTATATATGCTACTGAATACTGATGGATGGTAAGTATAGCAGTAGACTTTATACGAGTGATTATCTGCTTGGAACGGCGTTAATAAATAGGAGTGTGATTCACTATAGGTCGCCGATTCACTATAGGTATCGTCATAATGCTATATTATGTCATTTATAATGTCCTAAAAATAGAAATAACGCACCTATAATTAATGACTTAAATATTTTTATTTAAAACAAGTTTTGAACCAAAAATTATTTTTATTAAATCAAAAAAAAAAAGTTTTTAAGTACCTACTGCACAATTTAAAGTCTTTTTGTGGACTTTAAATCTGAATAAATAATTATTTTCATATTTTAACGTTAGTTCACGATAGGTTTGGTGAACAATGCAAAGTGTATTGAAGAAATCCCAACCCTATAGAGACTATAGTCACAATCAAAACGGCCACACTATTCTCCACCGAATCGAGAAATCATTGCAAACGCCAAACAGTGCCCTTAGGTTACCCGAGACCACGGCAGTTTTCGTATACCTATATATTACATTATTACACGTTTCAGCAATGAGCCTAATTTCGTTTCACTGTTCTAAAATGTTTTCAACGATCACGATTATCCACGAGATCCGGTCACGAGCCCGTTGTAGTCCTCGAAGATTCATCAGCGGCGTCAGTCCTTCCCATCGCGGTCTATCGCACCGCAGTATAATATTATTATAATGTATATATAATATATGTATATATTATATGCTACTATATGTATATAATATAAAGAGCCTTTCTCGGGTCGGCAAAACGATGTATAATAAAATATCGGAAAAACGCGAACATCATAATAATACTATCGTTGCAAGTAGGTTCTCTAAGACATCGTCATCATATTTTATAATATACATCATATACATATCGTATAACTGCTGCTGCGATAGTTGCGTGTAATATCATATATACCACCATCTCCTAGCTGAGTATCATAATAGTGACAGCAGTATATAGTAATAATATATTATAATATTGCACGTACATTAAAATAGTATATAATAATATAATATTATTATATATTATATATGGTAATATTGCAGTCTGGACGCGATATATTAGATTACCGTCGCACACACCGCCGTCGCCATTCGCGTTCCACTTGCGGTGGAAATGTGTATAATGTTATACATCTTAAAACGAAATGCACACGGTCGGTCGGACTCGCGATACGAGATCTGCACGAAACTGGAGCGTGATGATGACGACGTTTAATCAACTCGCGGCGGCGCAGGAAACGACGTCGAAACTATTAGAACAACGACTGTACCGGGATGCGATGAGGTTATTCAACCGCCAACACTGCCGCGTTGCTACGGTGCCATATTATCATTATTATTATTATTATTATTATTATTATTATTATTATCTGTTGTATTTCGTTTGTGTTTTCACGACGACTGCGATATGAGACGTCATCGTAGTCATGATATGTGACCCACGTGAACGTCGTAATAATTATTATTACCGTATAACATCGCCGCCATCGCCACTTAAATCGCACGCGACACTGTGTCTATACGGTTTCACGCCGCCACCACCACCACCACCACCCCCTCATGACACCAGCGACGTTCTAGCGCTCTTACGCCCTAACGCGCACAATGGTTGTTGGAAAAACACGTCAGAGTCTTGAAGAAAATGGTTAAACGTTTCTTTCGTCTCTAGTCTATGTCTCCGCCGACAGACTTCGTAATTATATTATACTCTAATATTATTTAATTATTATTTGTAAGGTATATTTAATTCAAATGAACTTTTTCGTAGGAACTGCAGTCGCGATAGCTTAACGTTATCTGCTATGCACTCACTGCAGAGTATTATAATTAGGGCTAGGATTTATATGCAATAAAAAATTGTGAAATATGCATTTTATTTACTAAAACATGCAAAAATATGCAAAAACAAATTTTTATTATTATTTATTATAATTCATAATTTATTATTAGCTCATATTATTACATTAAATATTAGTTTAATTAGACGTAACTTGGCACTTTCACTTTGAACTTTCGGCATACTGGACACTGTTATTAAAAMCATTAAAATTATTAAGTATAAACGTCCGCACACATTTTCGCAACACATGACGTACTAAYACAAAKTATTACYAAAAACTGTCGGTTTCGTGAAGTACCATTTAAAATTAACAATAACTTATAAAAATCAAAAAACGTTAGTTAAAAATKATCGAATCCTAAAAAATCTATGAATATGCAATTATATGCATTATGTCCAAAATATGCAAAAATATGCAAAAAAAAATTGGTCTTATTTAAACGAGAATAAGCCAAATCGTGGACAAATCTGAAAACCAATCAATTTGGACTTAAGGAAAAAAACATGCAAATGCATATAAATCCTAGTATCCCTAATTATAATTAATAGTGTTAAACGATCAAACTAATAGAGATCGCAAGTCGAACCCCCATTCAGGATGGTTGTAAATTATATTTGTATAAATATTAGGTACCTACCTATATATAGTATAATATTCGTCGTTTTTATATTTTTTATTTATATTGGTTTAATTTTGAATTTGATATTTTATCATATCGTTTAGCTATTTAAAACTGTGAGATATGATGGCTATAGAAAAAGTAGCACACAGCTGCAGTGGAATACGATTTTACGATAATGTGGTTTTTAAACGGTAAGTTCTGAAATTTTGGAACGACCAGTTAACACGTAACCATTATAATATTATTGTAATTAACGTGAGCGGAAAAATAATGAAAATTTAAAAATCTTTACGCAAACTGAAATGTCTAACAAAAGTTTCGAGTTCACGTGAAACGACATCATTATTGAAACAAAAACGACGTGGGCGCAGCACCTCAACCATTGTGCGGGGACGAGAAGTATGCTTTTGTCGTGACGTTGTCTTTATTATTAAAATATTATCGAAAACCTAAAACGTTTACCTGTTCGTTTGTTCGTTACTGAAAGTCACTCCTCTCTGGACAGGAATCAATCATCCATTGAATTTGACGACGACAATAGTTGCGATTCTAGAAATTTTTGTCTCTCTGTACTGCGTTATATTGTTTTTGTTGCTGTCGTCGTTTTTGTTATAATTATTATCATTGATGTACTGGACTTGAGTGAGTTTTTTTTTTGTGGCCATGACAGGCGACATTGGTGGTATTTCATCGGTAAAATGTTGATCGTTTATTTTGTAGCGGCACCGTGTGGAATGCAATTATACAACCAGGTCTAGGAACGTTCGCTCAGCCTCCGAATTCCGCCAACAGAGAGTGATAACCGTCTGCAAAATCAAAAGATCACAGGGTTAAATACGTTGGTGTACACAAACCACACACATAGATAGATCATCATCGTCATGTCATCATCATGCTTGTATAATAATATACATACATTATGACATAGAAATTTAAGTTTTGTCATTTATAATATTGTACCTACATTCTTAAGCTATATACTTATGTTATATTTATATATAACGTGAGACGTGAGTGGTATTAATATAAAATGTTTCAGTAAATATCTAATTTATAATCTGTTTATCTTTATTTATTTATCTTTATCTTTATCTTTATCTCTCTTTCTCTGCTGATGAGGAAACGAGTTTTATATGCGTTTTCATGCATTACAATCAGAGCTGGGAAATATATATCGTTAAAAAATTAATTAGTATAGAAAATAATCTATTCTCAAAATTAAAACACAAAGGTAACGAATTTATATACATTAAATTTGAAGAAGTAGGTACGATTCAATAGTCATGCAATTGCATAGATACCTATTGAAATGTCTACAAACAGCTAGTGCTTATATGATATTATATGATTTAATAGATTGTGTTACTATTAATTACTTAATACAATGGATAATATGTACAATTTGGTGGAAAGATAAAATGAGCGCACGCCACACCGATATAAACATATTATTATTATTTATGAAATGCGTGTTGATAATAATATATTTACCTAAGTAAGACCGCACTAAAATGTAAATATGTGTGTCGTTAATTCGGACTTTGTTTTTATAAAATATATAAAATACGTCGTTCAAAATATGCGTTTAAATTATTTTAGATTTACACCGCCCGAAAATAACGTCGTTATATTATGTTTCAGCTCCGGTTGGTCGTTTACATTTCGAAAAACGTTCACGCGCATACGAATATTATGGTATGTGAGCATATCTACATAGGTATATTATATAAACATATATAAAAAAATACTCTCTCAATGGCGGCGCCGTCGCCTGCTTCACTTCGACAAAGAAACGGTAATGGTAAAAAAAAAAATAATAATAATAATGAAAAATAACAATATACATAATACATAGGAATAACGATGTAGGTATATACGCCGTGGCTGTCCTCCTCCTAAGTCAGTATGATTTCGCCATGCGTACGCGTGTCAGCCGCGATGTTATCTCGCGTGCGCGCGGACAGGGTTAGACGCGTTTTAAAAATGAAAAAACAAAATTTCCACGCAGTCACCGCCGTAAACGAACAAGTACAATAACGAAATAAACGTTCGTCCGATAGCCAGATATACACAATAATATATTATAATATAAAACGACCAAACGTAAGACGACTCGATTTTATTATGTATGCAGGATAATCCATTTAAAACGTGACATTCATTATTTCAAAAACTATTAATACGTTTTTGAAAATTTTTATTTAACACAATTTTAAGTCATTAGAAAATCAGAATTTTCTGAAAGAATTACCTACGTTTTTATTATTTTATATTGTTATAATTTTTTAATTTTATACTTTTTTTAACGAAAATACGCGTCTTAAATTCTTTACATGAAAATAGAAATTGAAATTGAAAACGTACTGTTTCGATAAAAATAGTAAAATACTTACAACATTATAACAATCAAAAAATTATTATCATAATCATAAATATTGTTTTGCAATGACTAAAAATTATTCAGTAGAAATATTTTCAAAAACGTTAGTATTTTTTGAAATAGTAAAAGGCTTATGTTAAAATATGGATCATGCCATTGTTTTTTTTTTCTAACCAAACTCCAATGTGGTTGCAAACGAAACACAATCGTGGTAGTGGTAATTATATAGGTATACTATGACTCCTATAGATACACATTACCAGCAGCTCGTGTCTGTCACAAGATCAAATGATCTAATGATCTAAATGGTGATCGCGCTGATCGTGCGCCTATACTATACATATATTATTATTATTATTTTAACGAATTGGTCGTATAAGTGCGTTCAATTCGTCCGGAGACAATGCTAGAACAGAATATCGCATGCAAGAGTTCACTGAGAATAATATTATATTATAATTTATAATATTAATACATTGTAATATTTTATAGATAGGTACGTTATATTGTGTATCACCGACGTGGAAAAACTGTGTGATTTTACTGTTTTAACGTTTCCCACGGATTATTGTGATTTCTTATTTTATATACTTTAATAATTATTACTATTGCTATGGTGGTTCAGAATCGACATTGCATTATTTTGCGACAAAAAAAAGTGACACATATTTTGGCGAATACTCATTTTCGTATGTATAACGATTGGAATATGAATTTACTATAGATACGATGCATTATTATTATTATTATTATTATCATCATCGTGCTTGAATGCTTACAGACAAGTGTACGTGTACAGTGTAGTGTAGTGGCACGAGTGTCGACGATGGCCTCGTCGACTACGTTAAAAATAAAGGTCCTGCACCATGACAATCTATATAAGAGATGTGTTTCGTTGAAAAAAAGTTTTGTAAAAAAAATATGTTCAACGGGCGTTGGTGAAAGATGGCTGCGACGAGTGTTTATCGATTAATGTATATACCCATTATAAATGTGTACGATGCATTGTACAGTTGCCCACGCACGCAGCTCAGAATCGAAATAAATCATTTTAGCAGCATGAAAATTATTCAACCAATACTCTCTCTCTCTCTATATATATATATATATATATATAACACACACACACACACATACACAGCACCAACTTTAAAGACAGATACGTCAAAAAAAAAATAAACATAATATATTATATACATTATATTTTTTAGTTAGGTACATATTAGTATATCTTATACAGTTGAAAAAAAACCTATACATTATTTTTCATACCTACTCGTATTTAAAATGTTAACTATATTTTAATTTTTAATCTGCTACTTGAAAACAATATTATTTAGATAATAGATTGACAAGGATAACAGAGTTCTTAAGAGAAAAAAATGTTTACAATTGTATTTAAAATTTTCTATATTTTTCAAACACTCAATAGAATATGTTCGTATTATTATGTTATACACCACAATATTTTACCAATATAATAATATATATGTATAGTGATGTATGGCCCTTCAGTATTAGTCTATACTATGATTTAAGAGACACGATGTGGTACTGTTATACACTACTACCTTCATCCGTTCAATATATAAAAATAATTTGACATGATTTTGAAATTTTTTAAACATATGCCGCGTTGGCGCGTTGCAATATATAGTTAATTAAATTTGGTCTAAGTTTTACAGTTTTTTCAAGTTCCATGGCCTAATCGGTTTAAATTATCTAATCGTTATATCTATATATATATAGGTATAAGTTTAATATATTATATAATATATAATACGACTATCAATTAAATCGCACGCTTCCGTAACTCGAGTAAGGGGACGTGCCTCCACGTTGTCGTAGTCGTCGCGATAGTGTGTAGAATATTATTATTATCCGTCCATTGTTATAATAATATACAGTATGAGAAAAATTGCGATTGTACCTAATATTAAACACACACACACACATATATATAGGATACCAATATACATAAGTATGTATACATATAACGTGCGATATGAAAGCGTGGGGTGCAGGGTGTGCTCGGCATTGCTGTTTTTCTCCCCTCAACGACGAAGAAACAAAAAACGTGATAAGAAAATAATATAGTTTACGATTGAAGCTCTACGCCCGCCACGCGCAATTAAATCGCAGTACGTGACTTTTGCCAGAGCCGTAAAAAATAAAAATAAGTATATATGCAATACGTACACCTCCACTCTATGCTTATAATATAAAATATATATACTCACCATTATTCGGCTATATATACCTCGTTGAATTATAACAATGATAATATAAAAGTATACCATATTATACCTCCCGCCATCCGATCTCATTTCGGATTCGCGAYGGTAGCCTTTCGATATTGGTAGTAGCCATAGGTACTAAATTATACTGCTATAATAATGATTATTATTACCATAAACATTGCGCGGTGTAGTACACCTAATATTATTATAGTGCAGCGTCCGGATTCGATATAATAATAATGAGACATTTTTAATCCAAACGTCTATATATTTTCTTTTATCGGAATTATTATGAACTGTGACCCCACTCCATCAGTACGTACATATGCTCGAATAGGTACTCGATTAGTATGCCGCGGCCTTCCACTTTCGAGGCGTTGATTTATGCTGCCGGGAGACGACAACGGCTGCCTTATCGCCATCGCGCGTTCACACCAACGAGCCGACCACCGTGTATTTCACGAACAATCGTCAGTCGTCGATGCTTTATATTTGCATATTTTTTTTTTAAATTTATTTATACTGCTTTCTGCTAAAAATAATTGCATGCTGAAAAATAACAGTATTATCTTTCCTGTTCCACCGATTCTTTTATATGTAGACTTTTTAACCGATTTCTCGAGCTTCGTGATGAATACAGTGAAAAAAAACGAACGGTGGACGTGTTATTATTACTGCAGATACGAAATATCTGTGTGAAAATTCCCAAAGACCAGAATTTAATATTAGGGTATGAGTAAAACTTAAAACAGAATTCGAATATTTGTCATGCTCAAGATCGGAAACATAATCGATAGTAAGAAACAAAGTATAATATAGGTACCTACGCTTCAATAGTTGTTTTATATTAGGAAAAGACAAAGCTCTGTAATACCCATTTGTATAATTTAATTTTTCTCATGGATGTGAGATGATCGACTTAGGTACTGAAATTTTGGCATTGTATACGGGTTTAACCGAACTATTCGAACACATTTGGAATGGCTCCGTAAACTTTTGGTGGGTTTTAGCAAGGGAAAGCGACCATCCATCTTTCGAGTCACGATTACATTCTTCGCGYGCAAAGTCCTCATGACTGCAGGTATAATATAATCGCAAATGTTTTGAGTCAACGTATACTGCAGATACGTTGGAGCGCGCGTTAATGAGTGACATATAAACGGGACCTTTGCTCTGTCTTAGAGTT